TAACTTGAAATGGTTTTAACCTGTTTATGGCTTTGTCTTTCTGTTATACTCATTATAGAAGTTTTCAGTTTAGAATTTTAGCATGTTTTCTTTATGAACAAAAAGGCAGACTCTTCTCTTTACTAGCAGTAGTAGCTCCGTTATTACTCTGTGGGTAAAACTTGGAAATTGTTTTGTTGTGAATTTTGCTTTTATAACTTAGATATTACAAAATATGTGTGAGTAAAAGCTCTATAAATTCATAAAGCATACTTTTATGGCTAGGATATGTGAGGATTTTTCACTCATAAGTTAATGATGTGGAAAAGGTTTTATTTACTGGTCCTTTGACTTATAGGGAATGGGATCAAATCTTTTATTCCTGGTACTTAAACAATGTGCTATTTCGGTATTTATCACTTGAAATAGGAAAGAATAGCAACAACTGGAAGATGCCGTACAATAATACCTGTTTGTTTTAATTCCTGAAAAAGATACTATTCTGTGATCTGTCTTCCCTTTTTTCCCCTGAGTTTTTAACTATAGATCTAGTACTTATTTTTACCAGCCTTCTCTGAAGATCTCTTTGAGCCTTCTCCATCAGTCAAACTGATAGAATAAGAGATATTAAGAAGATCGAATGAGACAGGGTATAGAAAAGTACGTTGTTAGCATACTGTGCAAATGCTAGTTATTTATTATTCATTTTGTCATTATGTATCCATTGTGTGCAAGGCATGTTATTAGACACAGGGGTAACAGTGAAAAAGACATTGTCTTTGCACTTAAAGTATTTGTAGTATAGCAGAGGAGACAGATACGTAACAAGTAATTAAAGTGTGAGACTAGGGTAGGAATCATTCCCATTCATTTTGCAATGTGTTTCTGAAATATTTTATAGTTCTAGAGAGAACGCTGTCATCTTTTTTTCTATTGTTATAGATATAAATTAAATAACTAGTTCTTAAGTAGAAGGTTTTGTATATGCAATAACCCTTGGAACTATGTGGTGGGAATCTTGATACTTAATCACTGACTTGTGTGAAAACTAAACAAAAAATATATATATCTATAGTAATGAGAAATTCCCCCAAAGAAGAAACTGTCAAATATTCTTTAATTTGGGGGCTAATGACTGAACTAGAAAGTCAAAGATCATAAATTTATGTAATACCTGGTCATCAGTTCATGGCCAGATACCAATAAAAAGTTTTGATTGATGA